TCATTCGTTTTTCTATAAATAAACCGGGGAAGTGCTCAGAGTTTATCGAATATCGAATTTATTTAAAAGTATTTCCTTCCTTCGTTTTGGTACATCTGTATTGAAATGCCTACTTTAATTCTACTATAGGACTATTTTTGGATTGTCGTTTTCTAGATTTCATTACACAGAGGGTTTACTGTTCGTGTCATATAATTCCTTGTAGCAAAAACGTTTACGAATAATGCAATAACGAATTGTTGAAATGTAAACATGAATTAAGTTTGAAGTCCACTATTAGAAATATAAATCTATTATGTTGTTTAAAAGGAGAGTTTTTATATCATATGTTATGTTTACATCATATGTTTTTATATTTTTAACACAAATGTTCTTCACCATGTGAATTTGTCTCAACTGTTCAATATTTCTGAGGTAATTTTTTTCTTTTCTTTTCAAATAAAGTTGTATATTATTGTAAATATAAATTTAACCAATAGTTTTGTTTGAACCAATATTTTTGCTCGAGGGCTGTATTATGGCCAGGTCGTATTGAAATTTTCGTAAAACGAAAACATAAAATCATGAAAAAAACATGAAATCATGTTATAAAGTTATGAAATGAAAAGTAATTTCGATTATACAAAATATATGGTTCGAAATATTTTGGCTACGCCATCTCTGTGATTGGCGGATTTTGGAGAATCTGAAAATGTGTGAATACTGGGAAGTTACCTTACCTGAAGATATCATTAGGACGAAACATTATATATGCTGTGCAGAACCTTGACAACATTATAACTTCTGATTTGAACACCGTCTTTGAAATTTAGATATAACATAAAATGGAACTTGCATATACTAGTCAGAATAAAATGAAACAAGTAATTAGTTACATAATGTTGATTATTGTCATTGTTTTTATCAGTATATAGTATTTATTTCAAGTTTATAGTATTCAAATTCACCTTCTCACATTTTCAGAAGATAGTTCTGCTTAATTGTTAATGTTTCATATCTTTCACATATTTACTAGATTTCCATTGATTCACACTGCGGGAATTTTCTGTATTTGTTCAGATAGATAAATTTTTATTTTCTGCAGACTACTCAAATATTAGTATAAAAACGTCTAAGTATATATACTAGAATCTTAAACTTTAGTATGACACGTGCTACATTGGATATTTTTAAAACCCCATCACGCGATAAATGAACTCGTCCAGTTTATATATTATTTTACAATTTACAATAATTTCAGTTTTCTCTAAACAATTTCAATATAATGACCTCTTTTGAGTATATTGATAGATTTTTTTTTTAGACAGTTTATCATCAACATCTGATGAAGCCACTGTGTTGGCGAAACAATATTGTCATATTTTTGAATTAATTATAGTGTAAATCAGAAAACTACTTAGGTTTATTTAAATTATGTATTTAGATTTTCATCAAGTATCGGCCCAATCGATTAATGATTAATATTGATAAATGATTGAATGTGAGTGGCTCTATATGGACAGGTATCACTTTTCTAGCATTCAAAAATATTCAACAAGTGGCACTGTTCTCTCTGTTTTTGATATTCATTCCATGTTATTAGCTTTGATTTTTTTGGGAGTAAGAAAACAAAGTTCATAAACGTTCGAAGTCAAAACACCAATTACTGTTAGAATTTCAAATCAGAATCAGTATCTCATCGTACTTCGCAAAGATAAAAGCCGTAGGTAACATATTCTAAAATACAGCTGATTTTGATGTATATACAGTGAAACCTGGCTAAGTGAGACCTTAAGCGACTTGCAAATTTGTCTGACTATTTGAGGTATTCCTCTTACCCAGTGTCTCAGATATCCAGGTTCAAATAAATATCAGTCTCATTCACCGAGGGTTCAATTTTTAACGTTTTTTTATGAAGTTGCTTGACCCATGTTAGCAAACACTTTTCAAGTTCAGGATATTCTGATAAATGTACACGTTTTAGTTTTCCCTGTCCTTCAGAACATTGTCATTGAATTTTGTCTTTATTCTTAATTATCAGAATTATTCTGACTTCATCGCGTGTCTTTCTACTTTCATAAATGTTAAACTTTAGTTTTTCACGTACTGATAACGATTTGAGCCTTCGTTTCGGCATTTTTCAATAAAACATCCGTATGACAGTAATGTAAAACTAAAACTGAATGTCATTGAGCCTTAAAATTAGTTATTTGAGGGTAGAATAAGGATAAGCAATATAAACAAACGAACTAAGAAAGCGCAAGTTAGAGAAGTAAGAAATATGTACATATGAATATGTTGTCTCTGTTACAGCGCTTACAATTTACTCGCCGTCTCAGTTATAGAGGTAAATATGACTATAAAATCGAAAGAACGAATCCCAGATATAGAGGCTTGCTTCGTCCCACTAACAAGAAAAAATCAAATTAGTTTTTTGTATTTTCACATATTCATTTTTAGTATCAGAGGAATATTTCTGGCTTAGCATTCGCTTCGGAAGTTTTAGTCCGCTTCAACATGAGAAAACCTCTGAAAATGTAAGATAGTTTTTTTTAAGATAGTTTATTATATATATATATATATATATATATATATATATATATATATACATATATACATATATATATATATATATATATATACATATATATATATATATATATATATATATATATATATATATATATATATATATGGAATACATAATTCAGTTTTTTGCATAAATTTTCACAACATGCTCCCCATTTCAAATGCTTATCCACTATTAAACACAAAAATCTTAATTTATGTTACCTTTCTGAAGTTCGTTTCTTACTTCTGTTTTAACATTTAAAGTCTACATCTAAAATGTGTGTCTATATCTAAAATCTGTATCAAATGGAAACGTGAAACATTATATTACGAGAATCGGTAGAAGAGCTAGGTAAGATTAGTTTTGTGTTGGTTCACGTTCTGTGACAATCATCACAAAAAGCTATATCAGTTTTCGACATCTTTCGAAATAGTTGAGCATTCAAGTATTAGTTGAATTAGTTAATTGTATTGTTAATTATATCAAAATAGGTAAAAAAAAATCTCAAAATTGAAGATAGATATATCGAATATAAAAATTGTTCTAGATTGGAAGGAACTGAAATAACGGTTTCTATAGTTTATCGAGAAAAGCTGTTTCAACTGTTTCAACTTGAAAACGTGCGTTGAACAATTTTGGAAAATTTATTATCAACTGATTATTAAGTGAAAATGTGCTTCCAAATTACAACATTATGCTTATTAAAGCAATTGTTTTTTTTTAATGTCCACGCAACTTAGTATAAGATATAATCAGCAAATAATGTTAGCATATCTGTATATGATATACGGCATTCGACTTTCAATAAAAATGAATGTTTTGCATAAAGGTCATTCCAACTGTTTACTAATAAGCATCAACATACCTTTTACAGTTGCATCATTCTGCTGCCGAGTGATTGTTGATACGTGTTTTGTGTAACAATCTATCATCTAGCAAAAGCTCATTACAATGAAATATATTTTTTATCGAACTAATTATGCAGACTCGGTGCAGTCTTGGATAATGGATCCGTACTTTCGAGAAGTAGAATGTGTATTTTCAATCAGAGAATAGAGAGCAATAGTTTTTCTATTGATACAAATATGAAATATATATATTCGATATGAAATACTTTGTATTAGTTTGAAATGCAAAGCAGCATAAAACTTTGTAAACATGGATGATTTGTGAATATATGTATCAGAGATCTGTGCAAATTCTGCGGTTGTTTTTTGATGAACAAAGAATTATTCAGAAATATCAAAATGGGTTCACTTTACACGTAAGATGATTATTTTTTAACTGTTCCTCATTAAAAATGTACTGGCGATCAGTTGTTTTATTCAACTTCAAGAACTGTTTTAATTTTATTATTCATATTTCTTATGTGTTTATATACCAATAATAACAATTTCTTGTTTTCATAACTCATTGTCGAATTGATTTTTTCAGCTTTTTTATATGAGAACACTCAAAGTTCATACTTAGTTAGGTACTTTATTTTTTATTAGTCTTAAACAATTAAGAACAATTCAATTATCGAGCGATATTTTTCATAGCAGTTATTGGAACTTTCAAATTGAAAAATTCAGTTTGTTTATGAAACTGAAAAAAAATCTCTGTAAGAGCTAAAACTTTTTTTTAGTAGTTCATTCAAATAATACTAGTTATATTTCACGACAAAAACAGGTGTTTTTTGATAATAATCAAATTTAAAGATAACTACTTCTTTATTATATTTCGTCACAAAAGGGCTGTCTTTAGAAATCCAAACTGAATAATATGATTTTTACAATAACATATATTTATCAAATACGAATTATGAATGTAAACTATAGATTGTTTCAATAATTTGAAACCTCTAAATAATATTGATGCGGTTGGTTCACAAGATGTGTGATCTCCATACAATCATACACCTAGTTTTTTTTTATGGAAAGTTACTTAATTTATTAAAAGTATCTATTGTCTAATGTTTACGTGAGGCACTCCAGAAAATATTCCAACGGAGCGAGTATAAAGTCAAATAATTTTTTCTAGAAAAATTATATATAAAACTTTGATATCTAACGGAAAATTACGAAGTCTTCAACTCGGCGTACTCGCATTTGCGAGTGTTATAAACGTCAGAAAAATGTTATTTTCTGCTAGAATTTTCTTTCACTTCGAATTCGGGAACTACGATGATTTAGTTAATTCGAATACTTCACTGTCTTCTTTGTTGTTGTCAGTCCTCAATTTTGTCGGAAAACGTACATTGTAGAAAAACTTCATATAAATTCAATAGTTTTTATGCGTGTTTTTTACTTATACTAGATATTTATTTATTATTTTTCAATTCATTGGACCTACAGTTTAACGCCGGTTCCGAACTGCTATTGGCCTTGTAATCAATGTTCATTACCCGGCATATATCATTATTATTTAAACTACTTAAATCATAGACAAATACAAACGTGCATAAAAAAAGCTCCAGCGGGGCTCGAACCCGAGATCTACTGCACCATAGTCGGATGTTCTGCCGACTAAGCTACGGAGACCGGCAAATTTTTTGATGCACTTCAAATTGTAACATTTGGAATTCTGGGTATCCATGTGAAAATTTAGAATAGTATATCAAAATATATCTTATCAGAAGTCGAGCAACAAAAAGAGTTAAAATTGGAAAAAAAGGAGAAGTCAAAACTAAAAAAAGATCCAAACTTAATCTCCAGTGCACAATCTGTTGAAAATTTATCACATGACTAGTATATTTTTGCAATAGAACCACTTCAGTATACCTCTTAAATATGTGAATAGTTCAAAGATTATGTTGTATATAGAAAAAGTTTCTCACAAAATCATTACACTTTGAGATTTTGTGGGATATGTTGATAATTAATCGTAAACTCGTAGTCAATTATTAGATCACCATTGATTTTATTCACATTGGACATAATTTGTGTTATGTCCAATGTCCCATATACCCTACAAACTTTTTTGAATTAGATGAGAGATTCTTTACAGAAACTTATACTGTTTTTGAAATTTTAATCGCAACCTCATCTGACCTGCCATCTATTACCATGATTTATGCACTACAGTTGCAATCACTGATCGTATTGGTGGTGACTACATCAATCATAACTTTCAGTAACAAAAGCGCTGAGTTCTGGTTGCAATAAATATGTACCTTCAACAAAAGTATCAAAACAAGAGAACAAGCCTCTGCAAACTCCATCATTCTGCTTCCTCGATCATTTCGCATGCCATACCCGAAACCTCCAACCGACCGTTCTCCGGGTTTTTGTCCAATCTGAGCATTGAAATCGCCGATAACCATTTTGAAGTATGCGCTGCTGCTTTCATAAAGAAGTTATAACTCTTCGTAGAACATCTCGACCTTGTCGTCAGTGTAGGAACCCTATCTGAGGTGCTCTCGTAGCTGGTGATAAGATGTTTCATTCGTCGATTCACAATGAAACCTGTTCCTGCCACTGGTTTTTCCAGTATCAGTTCCTCGGTAGTAGAACATGTGGCCACTTCTCAACTCGATCAGACCTTCGCCCTTTCTTTTCACCTCAGAGGGACCAACGATAACCCATTTGATGTTACTAAGTTCGTTCTCCAACTATAGAAGATTTGCTTCGCTTGAAAGCGTTCGACAGTTGTACGTGTAGATGTGGAGTTGTGTGCATTGCTCCTTTTTCGTACGCGGACTGGAAATCAAGTTTTTGCCTCCCCCAGAATCCATGAGGCAGACTGAATTATCAGTGCGGGATTCTGAACTGGTTCCACCAGCTCTACCTACATTGGGTATTTTGTGTTTTAAGCTTGACATATCCATATGGGGTATTTGGCAATAAAACGCCACGCTTGCCAGGCTGGTTGGCGAGTTTAACTTCAGCCGCCCAATGTGGGCACTGTACAGACGCTGTTTGTAGCCGCCCAATGTAGGTGCAGACGCTATTAGCGACACTGGCAGTACTGTTTACTCTGTTACAGTAGCAGATAAAGTCCCTGGCCTGACTAATATGGTATACCATGCTCAGATTGTGGAGGAGTCTACATAGGTCAAACATCGCAGAACATCAAGCGAAGAATTACTCTCCATAAGAGTGATATAAGACTCCACCCAGATAGATGTGCTTTGGCCCTCCATGCGGCAAAGATGGGACATCACTTTGACTTCAAAAATTTTAAAATACTGGATATAGATGGTAACTACCAGAAAAGAATATTTTTGGAAATGTGCCATATTAATGTTAATGGCAATAGCATTAATAAAAACAGATATTGCTAGGCTCAGTTGCATCTTTAGTTATCTACTCTCGAAGAAAATTCGATAAGCCCTGCTACAATTCCTGAGCTCTGTTTGACGTTTTGTGTTTTTTCACTTGTGGTGACAATTGACAGAGATTTTTGCACTTGACATTCTGTGTTCCCCAGTGACGTTTGTCTGTGTTTTCTGACAGTTCGGGATCTATTCCCATATGATTGTTGTGACACTTGATTTTTATATATCTTTATATTACATTTTAATAATAATATCTAGTTCTGTAAGTTTCAACATTTGTTTTACCATCTATTTTCACTGCTGCGTACAGTCTGGCTACATCTTCAGCCTAGTTAACCGTAAGATGTAATTTTTTTGTTAAACACTTATGTATTTTTCATAGTCCTGATGAAGAATGTAAACATGTTCGGAATATAGACAAGCCGAGAACTCATCTTTTACTCATTATATATATATATATATATATATATATATATATATATATATATATATATATATATATATATATATATATATATATATAATTGCAAATAAATATTTCTGCTCGATTATTTCATCAACCACCTCTAATTTAAAATCATTCCGTAAATTGTCTTACCTGCTTAACCTTCCATTCGCTGTAAAGTCGTTAAATGAAACTCTAGCAGTAAATCGATTTGTCTAAACGAAACTATTTCGCATGCAATTTGCTAGATCGGTGTAATCAACTGTGTCGTAAAGATCACTGAATGGCGTGTAGAGATCAATGTTAGTTATTCGAACTGCAGTGGGTAATTTATTCTAATTTGCTTAACTTTGTCTCATATACGTCTCCGTATCATGATTCCTCTGTAATATATGATTTTCACGTGATTAATGCTTGAGATTCTGATTTCGAAAGTAATGTATGATGTATGAACTACAACAAAAATCAATATTGCATTTTTGTTTATAATATCCGATAGATGGCAGCACTTAAGCTGTGCAAATATTGAGTCACGTGTACGGATCTTAAATCACAAACAGCCCTGCTTGTATACTGAAATTTTCATTGAAATCCATTAAGCATATTCAGATTCGCGATAATATTTCAAACGGAGATCAATTATTGAACGTTGGTTATTTATTCTTAATTTATGTTGAATAAAGCCGTCCTGCGTAAAGTGCCATTAAATTCTGGTTGGTTTATTCCAAATTACATGATATATATTATTATCATTGATATTGAATAATTGGAAAATTATCGAATTTTTCCTGTTCAAAAATAGCAAATACAAATGATATAAATATAAAAGCTGTTGTTTTGTTGATACTTAATGTATTGTCAGTGGTTTGAAAGAATGGAATTAAAATGTATTTAACTGAAAAAATCATTGTAATCTGACATTTTAAAATTTAAAATTAATTCAATAGATAGAGATTTAAAAGGAAAGGTTCCTAATTTTTTGGCTTTATATTTATAGGTACCGTTTTATTTTGTTGGAATTGGTATATGTATCTTATGAATTTTTTTTCAAATTTGTATAAACAAGGAAGCGAGATCATATGTCTGAAGTCGTTTTCATTAATATTGATTTTCGAAAATTCCGTTGCAGCCTTTTACCCTCTAGTAGATATAGGTTCGTCTCTATGTTTGGTGTGTAATTTGACAATTTTTCATTTACTCAAATATAAATCGAACGAAACCACCAGACAAACTCCGAATTATATTTCCTAGCACCTAACAACGACATAGAGATTATTAAATTGTTTCAACTATTTTCACAAAGGAAATGCTTTCCTAAATTTTCGCACTTTTCTCTCATTCCCAACAAATTTCTACGCAAAAAAGAAGAACTGAGTTATGTTGTCACTGTAGGGAATGTCCAACCTGTACCGTAATTTAACTGAATGTTTTGCCAATTTGATGCCGCCTAGTGAAACTTTTAATTAAAAGAGAGCTCAATTTATCTTTCGCTTAACATGCAGAATAGAAAGGGATGAACGCGATTCTAACATACGGAACGCGCGTCCGCTTCGAACAATGACTTTGTTTCGTTCCTTAATTTGTGTTGACACAACAATAAAGGTATCACACAGTCAACACTTATGTGACTTTCTGTAAAGAAAGAGCGTGTACTTTTCATCTCGAGATGTTTGACCGACGATAAATGCTAATATGCGACAGGGCAGGTTTAGTTCGTATTCATCGATATTTGACGATGATGGTCCTGTAATATTCACGCGCCGCGGCATTATTTGCAACTATCTTGACCTTGTATTGTGCGTCATTCACTAAGCAAACGCAACGTTTTCTACAAAAACAATGAATACTTATATTAGTGAAATGTTTGCACAGTAATTTTCATTAATCTATTTAGGCCTAATTTTACATTTTGAGTTTTCTGTTTATTATAATCTTCATGACGAATAAAAAAGATTATTTATTCTGTTTTGAAGTTATATAATTTTTTATAAATGTGCTTCAATAATCACGATAATTATACATCAAGATTATAACCTCAATCAAGAAAGTAATTGAAATTGTTGAATTGAACTACAAATTATTCATTTAATCATCCGAATTTATTATGCCACTTCTTCAAAATATACTTAAAATATGCACATATCATGCCACAGTTTTCAAATTGTCGAAACGTTTTCTTTCTTCTTTTCTCGGACTAGTCTTCAAATCTATGTTGTAGATATATTAGAAAGGATTTGCACTAAAGAACAAAAAAATCTAAAGGCGGTAGGTACTTGCCAAAACAAAGGTTTTTCGATGGTATCTGTTGAGTTTAGGTCTTTGTTTTCATGAATGTAATTTTTTCGTGATTGTTTTCTTAATCGTTTGCAAATTATGAAATAATTTCGAAGATATCTTTCTATATATTTACAATATTTGATTCTTAACGAATTTGACGTACAAAGTTGTTTGTTTTTGCTTCATTTCAGCATTTGCTTCAAGTATTTATTATTGTAGATTGACTATATATATATATATATATATATATATATATATATATATATATATATATATATATATATATATATATATATATATATATATATATATATATATATATAACTATAACAAAAAGTTCTATTGATTCACTTCTTCAAAGGACCTTCATGTATAATTTGAGAGTTTCCATTGAAACTGCAGTTTTTAATTTGTTGGCGAAACACATATTTTTGAGTGCAGTTATTCAAATTTGATTTTTTTTTCTTCAAAATTATGATTAACATTTTCACACAATTCAAGTTCAATTTCACCAATAACTCGAAATTGTTTCAACTTTTAATT